TCATCATCACCACCATCATCATCACCACCATCACCATCACCACCACCATTATCATCACCATCATCTTCAACACCACCATCATCATCACCACCACCATCATCATCACCACCATCATCATCACCACCACCATCACCATTATCATTACCACCATCACCACTATCATCACCACCACCATCACTATGACCACCATCACCACTATCATTTTTACTACCACCATTACCACTACCATCATCACCATCTCCATCATCACCACCACTATTATCATCACCACCATCATCACCATCACCTTCACCACCACCACCATCACCAACCATCTCCATAATCACCAACACCTTTGAGCCTCTGGTTATTCTATCCTAATTTGAAGCTCACTTATAACAGTACTGCCAAAAGAATATTAAGGCAACACTAAAGAGTTTATTTGCAAAGCTGAACAAAACCACACAGGGTAGAAGACAAGGTGTGGAGATGCACTGGGATCTGGTTCATACAGACTCTACCCCATTCCTATTTTCAGAAGATAGTCAGAAGGGTCCCCTGCAGCTCAGTCCAGTGTCCTAGAGAACATGGCCTTCTGCTTTCTTCTAATAGACAGTACCTTTCCTCACTGGTGTTCTGTGATCTGTCTGGAATCTCAAGTCAAGTCCTTGGTGAGGGCTTCTGCTATGTCTGAATGCTGCTGTTCCCAATAAATAATAAAAGTCAAATATTAAAACATCATACCCAAATAAATGATATCAAGCAATGGAGCCTTTGGGAGAGGATTGGGCCAGGGTTTCCCCTCATGAATGGGATGAATGTCTTTCTAGAAGAAGCTGCATGGAGCCCCTTCACTCCTTCGCCACAAGAGGACACAGCAAGGGGGCACCATGTATATTTTCTCAGCAGAAAGTAGTAGCTTTTCACCAGCCACATTAATCTCCACCTTCCCACCTCAAGAACTGTAAGCAGTAAGTTTCTGCTGTTTACATATTGCCCTGCCTAAGGCAGTTTGCTAGCGCAGCTTGCACAGGCTAATATTTCTCTTCATACAGTGAATCCTTTGGACTACAGTAGGATGTCAGTCGGAAGCTAAAAAAGGCGCCGTTTCTTTTCTCATCACTTCAATGCACTCCATCACTAAGGAACAGCCCACAAAATGGGTTTAAAAGGAGAGAGAAGAGAAAACCTCTAGTAATTCCAGTGTCTAACTTGAACTAACCCTCCTCACTCAGTGCATTGGATATTTATTTGGAAAAAATCGAAGACACCTGCCATCAGATGGGGGAGGGGAATCCAAATTTCTAGAACATTCTACCCATTTGCAAAGAGCAAATTCAGGAAATAAAGAGCTGGAGACTTGAAGTAAATGTTTCATTGGTCATGATGATCAGAAGATGACAATTAACACACACACACAGAGCTTATACCACCCACTGAAGGGCAGGTCTCACTCCATCCAGATGGGCTTGTCCTGCTGGCCCTGCAGCCATTACCCCACCAGGACTCTGCCCTTCACTCTGAACTTCTGCCTCGGTTCTCATCTTCTCTCCACTCAGAACCTGGAGGCCGGTGTCCAGGCAGAGCCGTGAAAAGCGGGGGCCTTGGCCCAAGTCTTCAGTCAGTGGACAGTGTCACAATGTCCATGGGCTCATCTCTACCTCCTTTTCGACACTCTCTCCTTCTGTCCCCTCTCCCACCCCGTCATTGTTCCCCAGAAACAAATAGGATGGCTTCACTGGTCAATCTTTACATATACAAACACCAAAAGCAGAGGAAACGCCCCTTGGCCACCCCCCTCCCCCCAAACCCCAGTGCTGGGAGAGCAGCCAGCAGCCGAGGCTGCTGGAACCAGGTTGCTGTGGGAGCCGTCTGGCTGTCCTGGAAGCTTCCTTGGCCTCTGGGCTTTACCTCGAGGCCTCTTCCTTCAGCTCCTTGTTCTTCCGCACCTCCTCCGCGTGCTTGTCCTGGGAAGGAAGGGAGGGACAAGGGCAGGTCACACAAGGCTGCCAGGGGAGGTCAGAGGGCAAGAGAACGGGAAAGCGAAGCTTGGTAACCACAGGCAGAGCAGAGCTGTCGGCGAAGCCATCCTGAGAGGGGTGGAAGGAGGCAAGTAAGATGCAGGACACAGGTGTGTACGCCTACAAGTACACAGAGCCCATGGACCAGTGAGACCCCATATCATGTAGGACTCTGAGACAGCGTACGTAGGCTCTTTCTACCTCCACTGGTCACTCTGGCACTTGGAATGGCCACTTGACTTGACTAAATATAAGGAGCCACTTGGAACAGCCAGTTTCAGGGGAATGGGAAAAGAATCAGCCCGTGGCCAGCATCCCTGACACATCACAGATGCGTTATTCCTCTCGCCTCTCTTTGGCGTTGTCTTAGACTACTAACTGAAGGTGGACTCTCGGGTTACATACTGACGGAGAACTGTTGGGAAATAGTGCTTGACTCCAGACAACAGACTCCCTTACACGTGTTGGGTGACAGCCTTCATTTGTTTCATAACAAACTCTAGCCAAAAGACTAGATTTGCCCTCCCATCCCATCCCCAGCCAGCTGTGGGACCTGCAGAGTTCGGCCAAAAGACAAGCTCTGCCTTCCTGTCCCCAGACAGCTGTGTGGCCTTAGCTGACTGTTTTATCTAACCAGGCGTCAAGTTCTTGGATCTTTCCGATGGGGATAAGGATGCACAGCCGGTTCACCTCCCAAACTCTGACAAGTGTCTACTCATGGGACCACGCCACACCTGCCCTCCACATCATCCCAGCTCAGTAGACAAATATTTGTGTCCTTGCTCAGTGATCTGGTATTACCACATCTGGATGGCAGAATAACATGTAATAGACCCACTAAGGCCACTAAGGTTCCTAAGATACATCTTCACCTACGAGTGTATCCCTCCAGAGGTCTTAAAAATTTCCACAGGCTGAAAGCCTGAATTCTCAAACTCTGATGTGTATCACATGACCTGAAGCCCACAGATTCCTCAGACTTTGCCTCTAGAGAGCCAGGTAGTAAGTCTGGACTGGGTTTTTAATGCCTAAGAATTCTGGTCATAATACCCACACAGAGACAGCGTTGTTGATGCTGAAGGTATCCCTGGTCCGTGAACCGAGAGGTATAGTGGGAAACCCTGTGCCTAGCTCTCAACCTTGCCTCCTGCTTCCTCCTGTGAGTAATTACGAGTGGGGACCAAGGTCCCAGAGGAAAGATGTCCTGTCAAATGTCTCATCTGGCATCTTAATTCTTAGCATCTTCTTGAAGTACATAGCTGTCGTTCCTCAGACAGCCTTGTCTCCACCTCCAGCTCCACCTCTGTTTCCAAGGGGGTTGCTATGCAGAGCCCTAGGTTTCTGGCCTCTGCTTGCTTGGTCTCCAAAGAACCCCTGGCTGTTGCAAACTTGTGAGGCAAAACTAGGACAATCTCTCTGAGACAGGCAAGAAAGCAGCCGCTTGTAGCTGACAAGGGGCCGAGGCCAGCGCTACTGTTTGTGTGCTGTATGCATCTCAGTGAATCATCTGACCTCAGGAATGACTTCCTCATCTGAACTAAGAATGACACCTGTCCTGCTTACCTCATAGACTTGTGATGACCGTGTTGCAATAAAAATTAAGGGGTTTTTATAAACAAACTCTGATACAATCTAGTTTTGTAACTTGTTTAGATCGGGTCTGTAAGCCTATAACTCTCCCATCCAAACTGAAGTTTCGTCAAGAATTTGTCTTGGGGCTGGAGCTGTGGCTCAGTTGGTAGAGCGCCTACCTTTGCAAACACAGAGCCCTGGGTTTAACTCCCAACACTCCATAAAACAGGCTTAGTGGCACACACACGGAGTCCCTGCCCTTGGGAGGTGGAGGCAAGAAGATCAGAATTTCCAGGCTATCCTCAGCTACCTACATAGCCAGTTTGAAGCCAGCCTTGGATACATGAGACACGGTATGGAAAAGAAAAGGCACTGTTAGGTTTTCTTACGGTATCTCTCATTAACCGCAACAACCCTAAGTCAGACCCAGACTATGTCCCTCCCGAAAGAAGGGAAATCTTGCTGTCCCTTGTGGAATTGACTGGCAGAGCATGGGGCTGCCACCTGCTGGCCAACTCCAGAACCTGGGCAGCTCACATTCCTGGATGAAGCCAGATCTTTTCTAGTAAATGTTGCCAAGGGCCTGAGGTTCTAGGTGGGTAGGCGGGAAGAAATAAGGACCACGCTGCTCACCATGGGACGAGGCCACCGATCGGTCCCGGGAGTCACCGCGCAGCAGGCGGCTCCTGGAAATAAAACACAGAGCTAAAGCTTCCCAGGAGCTGCAGGAGAGACTGAGGCAGCCTGGGATTCAGAGAAGGAGGCCAGCATGTCTTCCAGAGAAAGACACGGAGGACCAACCCCAGTCTCTCACACCTCGGATGCGGGTGACACTTTGGTTATTGACAAAGGCAGACTATTGGGGAAAACCGACTGTTCTCTGGCCCTTATCAAGAGCTCTGGGGAGAATCCTCTTTCCTGTGCCACTGGCAACCAAGCTTGTTGTGCCCCTGGCTCAGAGCCATGCTCAAGTTAGCATCTTTCATAAAGCCAAATCTGCCCATTCAAGGATGAAGCCAGAAATGTGCAGACATAGGTCCTTCCGTAGATACTTGCACTAGACGGGCTTTCTCTAGAAAAGTAGGGTGCCAGCAAGCTCCTGAGACAGTCATAAACACCAGCTTTAAAACCCTAGGAAATCCCCCCTGAGGCCACCCAAGGAATGGCGTATGTTTCTTGCCTGTGACTTCCCGAATCCTACCCCTAGAACGACGAGGACCCTGCCTGATGGAAACATTTCCATGCCTGCAGAGGCTGCTTCCTGCAGAGTGATGTAGGTCACGTGTACTTGCCTTCGAAGGAGCCTCCTGCCAATCCAGGATAGCTTACCTTCTCTTGCAGCCGCTCCAACATGGCGGCCAGGTGAGCCTCCCGGTTCTCCTTATTGGATTCCATCTTCTGGGCCAGCTTCTCTTTTGCCATTTTGATGAAGTTGTTGTTTTCCTCGATGGCTTTCTGGATCACCTCTCGCTCGTGCTCCCGTTTCTCTGCTAGGTGTTTCAGGAGCTCCGCTTCCTGGTACTAGGGGAGCCCAAGAAAGAGAAAGACGCTTAAGGGTGGATTTCTCCCATAGGGCTGAACAGCGCCACACCCAAATGAGATCCATCCCTGAACCTGGTGCTCTAGCCCAGGAACAGGAAGCAATGCCTCGGGACCACCTGCAAAGCTTTCCATCATCTTGGACTTTCTTAGCCCTTTTCTAAATAGCTTCAGAATCTTTTCTCTCATTTTTGTTATTCGTTCTTTCGCCCATTCATTCATTCACAAATGCTAAGTAATCTTATATTAACCTCAAGTCATTCATAGCTCCAGACACCCCCGGGAAGGGAGCAAATAGCCTACTAGACATAAACATGCTTCTTATAAATAACTGAAACCTAGCCCTGCCTGTGATAAATGCCTTGGAGGTAAAGGGAGGGGCCGCAGAACTCAATGGATAACTTTTTTTCTTGAAAGGTGAAAAAAACGCTCATGATAAGATGGCACCTGAGTTGAGCCATGAGAATCAACAGGAAACAAAGAAGTTGAATACAAGGTCAGCTGTGAGAGGAATGTGACACCCAAGCCACTAAGCAAACTGTAAGCTCACCCAGTGCACATTCATGGTCTTGTATCCTTCGGGGTACGAGTGTCTCAGCCTACGCACAGCATTCGGGATGCGCTGTCTAAACATTCTCAGGTTCACTGTCCGTCCTTACCCACCTCAGAAACACTGCGTCGCTCCTCCTCCCTGCTCACACTGGGGTGAAAGAAAGCAAGATAAAAAAGATCTGTACTAACCTTCCTTCGCTCCTCCGCCGCTTCGAGTTTCTTCTGAATCTCTTCTAGTGATGGGTCTCGCCGTCGGGGGAGGGAGGCATTAAATTCCGGCACCCCGTCAAAGGACGGTGGCTTCAGGATGACTTCAAAGGACTGGCCCGAGGTGCACTTGTTCAGCTCAATGACTTCCATGTCAGAGATGACACACCAGTTCAGGTCCACAGTATCTGCTATAGAGGGCAGAATTGGGGCTGCTTACCTGCCGAGGAGCACCTGGGGACCCAACGAGCATGCACACATGCACACAGACATAGGGAAGCTGGGGTCCCAAGGCACACCGATGACTAGGCTTTGGGGGATCCTGAACACCGGACCCTAAGGCCAGTGACTTTGCCAGAGTAAGGTTTGGGGATCCCTGGGCAAGGATCCCAGGAGCTGCAGGAAGGCCAGCGGTTGCTGTTCCTCACTGGTGACAGACATCAGTTCATTTCGCCCACCGCCCACCTCCAGTCCCTCCTTGCCCTGGTCCCTCTGACGGCCTGTGGACCTCTCCCCTGGCTCCCGCCTACCCTGTTCTCTTCTTTCTCTCCAGTCAGCACTGCCTTTCCGCTGGCTTTGACCTTTTCTCCTACACTGTCTCCCACACCAGCCTAAATGGAAAAAATGGTCTCAGGTCATCCAAACACCACCTTTCTCATTGATGGACCAAACCCAACCCCTTCCTTGCAACCGGAAACGAAGAGATGACCTGACTGACCCCTGACCACTCCTTGTGAGAGCGTGGCCATCCAGTACTCTGTGACAGGGTTTGGGGACTCTGACATAGCTACTGTCACCAGGCAGGAAGTGCTCTTTCCACCTCGGGGCTGTTGGGAACATCTCTGTCTGTCCCTGGAAGTCCTGCTGAGCACACCAAGTTTTCTTTTCTGTTCTGTGTCTTTATCCTTGTCCTTGCAGCCTCTGTGGCATCAATTCATTCAAGGAGTGTGCAAAAGGGACCGTAAGAGCAAGTGCTTCCAGAGGGCCCAATCCAGACCCCTGGCTGCTACCTGGCACCCCAGGCCACATCCCCTGGCCTTGGACCCCCTCAGGATCTGGGAAAGAAGACACACTATGACCAGAACAGTTTAACGAGATGGAAGGATCAATGAGGGGGGCACCCACAAACACAGGACACAGAAGCCTCCGCCCTTCCCTTTCCCAGCTGAACCGCCACTCACCTTCATATTTGTAGGATGATTTATTCAGGGAATCAGACAGGAAGCAGGAGCAGAACAGAGACACCAGTGGGAGCTCCTTCATCTTCTCCTTGTAGGCTACCAGAGAACAAACCAGTGCTTCCATGAGTCAGCCCAGGCTTTCTGGCTCCAAAGTACCCAAGTCTGGGGCTCCTCAGGCTTGAAATTTGACCTTCCACTTCACATAGCTGGCCCTATTCTTCTCTCAATACCAAATGCAAAGTATCCTCTAGAAAAGACCCCAGATGCCAGTGTCCCCACCCTGGTCCCCATCGCCATCTCCTACTTCCACCCAGGGACAAACCAGGTCCTTGAATCTTCGTTCTGCTGAAAGTATTTGGCATGGCTGCCTAAAGGGCCAAGCAGTTAATACAGGGGACTTCCTTGCTGTTCTCCTTGGGGTCCAGGCTTTCTCTAGAGGAAGTCAGATTGGCAGTCTCCTTACAACTTCCCAGCACAGGAATCAAACCAGGGGAGTGGCTGTCCACAGAGGAAAAAATGTGCCCCTGACAGCAGGAGTCTCTCTGGAAGCCACAGGTCATCATGGTGGCCCCTGCCAGCCTTCCCCCACTGAACCCTGTTTTATGCACAACATGCGAGAACCCCTGAGAACCAACCCCACCCCATGCTCATTTTCTCTTAAAAACCTGAAAGCATAATTTCAACACTATGATAAAAGATATTATTTTAAATTTTTTAATCATATGCAAATGAGTAAATAAGGTAGAAAAATTTAGCTGGGATCCCACTCGACACCCAGAAATGACTTTGCCTCTGCCTCGCCACCCTCTCTTCCTATGCATCTGTAGGAGCTCATGCACAGAGAAAGAGGCTGGGGAGCTGGCAACACGCTTGCCTTGCGAGACCAAGTTTTGATTTCCGACACTCACAGGTAAAAGCCACTGGGAGGCAGGAACAAGAAGACCCCTGGCACTAGCTGGCCAGTCAGTTTATCCGTATCAACAAGTGTCTGGCCAATGAGAGAGCCTTTCTAAACACAGCAAGATGAATGGATCCAGAGAAATGACACCTGGCATTGTTCTCTGGCCTCTCCACGCCTGTGGACAGGCATATATGCCATGCGCAAAAGTGTCACATATACACATGCATCTCGGCACACAGGAACACAGAGAAAGAAAGACAGACAGACAAATGGCTTGCGCTATAGTGTCCGTCACCGAGCGATGCATGTACCTACCTGCGAGGGTCATGGTGGCTGAAATCTGGTGATTGGACTGACTGAAAGTCACAGCAAATGCCTATTGCCACCTCAGAACACGATCCCAACCCTGAAAAAGAGAGACCAGTTCAATTGACAGGTGCTTACCATTAAAGACGGCCCTTTTAAGCACCAAGGGAATCTTGGGGATACTGTATCTGCTATGACCTCCAGGTCTCCCCTCTCTAGCTTCCACTCCCCTCCCCCCACACTCTCCTCCACATCTGCCCAGGCAGATTTAGTTCACAAACAAAGGATCTCTTCACAACTGACTCTGAGGCGTCAGAGCGTGTAAATATGGGTTGCCCCAGCTTCACCTCTCAGGGGTATTTATCTGTCTCCCTGTGTAGTGTGACTGCCTGGGAATACCTGGGAGATGAGAGGGAACAGGGCTCCACTGAGGACCAGTGGTGAGTGCTTGGCATGGAGACTGCTTGGTATTTGACCACCTTTGATGGTTACTGTGCCAGGGCAGAGTGATATGAGCCAAGAGACTAATATTAATACTATATCCCTTCATCCTCAGGAGACACAGGGACTTGAAATCCTTCTATTTAGGTAGTGAGTCTATCCCCCTTCTGGGGACCAAGGCCCACATAGACAGGAGGTCCTGGGGGTGGGGTGGGGTAGTAGGTCCAGTTCTAGCCTCAAAACCAGACTGCTGCAGAGTTGATGACAAGTGCCATCTCACCCCATCACTTTGCAAACCTAAACCTTGTGCTCACAGTCTTTATTCTGCACAGACTTGCACTTGTGAAATGGGACAAACTCTGCCCAGCACCCGGAACCCGGAACCCGGCACCTGGCACCCAGCAACCAGGAAACACCCTTCTTCTACCCACTGTATCAGGGTGGCTCTCCCCAGCCCTGTTTGTCAAGACTGAGAGAGAGTAATCGAGCGCAGATTTGAAGCAAACCCAGCCTCCCTTAGAAGACTCTGTTCTCCGTTTGCCAGCCAAAGACCCTGCCAAAGCTTTCTGCTGCCAACACAATAGGCCTTTCTCTATAGTGTCAGGCTGGTCCTGATGGTACCAGTGAGTCCCCCTGAATGTGGAGACAGGCCTGGTGCCTGGGGACAAAGTCCTTGGTCAGGAGCCCAGCATTCATTTAGGTCCAGAGCGATTGAAGAGGAGATTGACTAGATGAGAAATGTTGGCCGGGGTAGGCAGAGACCTAGGACCTTGATCAATAGGTCAGAAGGGGAGGAGGGAACAGGGAGAAGAGGAAGAAAACACCCATTCAAGAAAGAAGAGAAATGAGCAGGTGCAGTCATGTGGGGGCATGTTCTTGGTTTGAGCTCAAGTGGCAAGACCCTAGACACATAAAACACTGTAAATTTTCTCCCAGTCGATCCTCACATGAGCCGAAGTTGTACCAACAAGGCGGATGCCATCATCTTTGGAATCAGAGGAAGAAGCTGCAGTCCAGACTCTAAGAAACCTGCCCAGGGTCACAGAGCTCTAAAGGGATCCACCTGGGTCCAGACCCAGAGCTTCTGAATTATAAACTCTTACCTGGTGACAAATGGAAGAGCAAGACACCTGCTTCTTGTCCCTGGTGGTCCCAAGGACACAGAAAAGGCCAGTCTAGCCTAGAGATGGGAAGGAATTAATTTTTTCTAAGCATGTACACAGGTACTTTCTATATGGGAAAACCTGGGCTATGAGTCATTGGAACACAAAGAAAGTTGGAAAGCCAGGGAAAGGCCAGGGCAGGGATCAGGGGATGTTACAGAGTAACAAGGAACTTGTCACAGATCTCAGCCCTGGGCAGTTAGAGCCTGCACAGTTAAAACTCACAGACACAGAGAATTGCTTCGTGAAACACTCACTGCAAGTTTCACAGTTGCCTTTTGGAAGGGTAGAAATTCTCATAAGTGAAGGGGTCAAGGCTCAGAAAAATAAGGTGACCTTTTTAAGCCTGTTCAGTTTCCTGGGTTGAATAAGGAGCATGCATATACCCTAACATCGTGAATGTACTTTTACGTGAAGAAAACAAAACATTGCAGATGTGATTGATAACGTCAAGATGAGAGAGAGCATCCTTGATGACCCAAGTGGGCTTATGTGTGAGAACAGAAGCAGAGACCAGATGATGCAGCCACAAGTCAAGGAATGCCTAGAGACACCGAGCTGGAAAGTGCAAGTAAGGATTCTCCTTAAAGTCTTTTGACAAGGTGGTTTTGAACTCGTAAACTCCTTATGTGGTGGGGGATATGCCAGCTCCAATAGTCTCAGTACATGACAAACCCATGGTTCTTCTACTGATTCTCAACAGCTAGTTTTTAAACATAGCCATTTCTACTGTAGTCAAGACTCAAGAGGCACTCTGGGAAAGGCTACATAAGACACCATGGGCAACGCTTTCTGGAGAGAACAGCAATACAAAGCAACTTTAAGCCCCTGAGGGTGGCAGTCACAGTAGGGAGCCTGGCTTTCCCCATTATTAGCTTGTGGCATCAGTGCTTGGTGGCAGCTAGTCAAACCCACCTCTCCCAGCCTTCTGCCTGTAGTATGGCTCCTTCTGTGTAGCTGTGGTCACACCATCATGTCATAACAGCACACAGCCTAGAGGTGGGGACCACTGAGTGTACCAGGAAGAGAAGTAGGGAGTGTTACACCACAGGTCAGAGCACAGAATGCTAGAACTCATGGAGGCAAAAAGAAGAGGCAATAGTGGCCAGCAGAGGGGCAAGGCAGAGCTCACCTATCAGGAAGAGCATGACCCATGACATCAGACATTTGAGCATCAGAAGGCAGCCACAATGCTAAGCACACCCCAGGCCCATCCCAAGCCTCTTCCCATCCTTGCTGTTAAGGCAGAGGCCAATCCTAGCCCTTCAACAGCCCCTAAGGAAGACAGCAGCAAACTGGCTTCACGCCATGTGTTTAGAATCTAACATTATGGCTAAGAGGTGTATCTGGTCATATCACCTTAGGGACAAGACTAGGAGGGGTGACTGGAAGCCATGGTCAGAGTATTGGGGAACCTGCCTAGACTGAGTCACACTCTGGAGTCACACCCAGCGCTGCTGCCCTAATTATAAACTGATCTCCACACAATGCCAGTATCTAAGTAACTGTGTATGAAAACACAAATAATCTCACTTTTCTGCTGTTGTATTAAAACACTAGCATCTTTAATAGAGTAAATCTGTGAGCACCCAAGCAACCAGGCAACCAAGAACACAATCAGACACAACCCAAGAAGCAAATTAAGTGGGTGTGGCTGATGGTGAAGAGGCGGAGCCAAGGCTGAGGACTGGAGAGAAACCTTCTAGCTGGAAGAGAAATGAAAAGATAGCTAAAGTGGATAGATGAAGTCCTTCTCATGATACCAGAAACCAGGTAAACAGGCCATCGCAAGGCTGATAGCTCCCCATGAGGGGCATCTGAGACCTCCCAGTGACAGCTAGATAAGAATGGTTTGGTGAGAAGAAGCTAGGTCGGCCCTAGATACTGTGTTGCACTTGACTACCCAGACTGACTCGGTCTAAGATGTCAATCCTGGGCTCGCTGGGGACAAGGGATCTTGAGGTTACACGGTGAGCTCTTGGTAGAGGAAGAACCAGAATGTAAGGTCCTGGGGTCCAGTGTGTGAGCCTTTCCCCCTTTGTCCTGGGCCCCTTTCACCTTCTTGAATGGGACAACAGCCCACACTGGAGTCTGCAGAGCTGCCCTCAGTATAGAAATGGGTTCCTAGAAGGGACACCGTTGTAGGATATTGTGGCGGCACCAAGGCTCTAGGCTTTCTGGGATCAGCTAGTGACCTGGAAACACAGCAGTGTGCTGAGTGCTCCAGAGAGATGTGGCCGCTTACCCTGCATATGTCCAACCCTGGAGTGTCTCGAACTGCCCACCCAGGGGGCAGAGTGGATAAGTACTTTGTTGCTGTGATAAATCCCTGGCTATTGCTACTGGACTGTTTAGAGAAACCCACGTGGGCTGTTTTTGAGGGATCAGCAGTTAATGCGTGTCCAAGTGGTTTAAATAGAGCTGTCTCTGGCAAGGGTTCTAAAAGACAAATATAGGGATCCTGGCGCCCATTCAAGATGGGAACTTCGTGGGCGTGGGTGTAATGAATTCTAGCCTAGCTCCTCTAACCACAAGAGTGCAGGAGAGGCCCTTCCAAGCGGACACTCTTCTATGTCCTGATGCCATGCGCTGCCCTAGAGGCTTCACGTATCTTCACTTTGGGCTGAAATCATGTTCCCACAGAGGAACCTTGTGGTTCCTTGTTTACTTCCTGCTGCCCCAAGGCTCTGATTGTCATTGTGTTTAAAAATCAAAAGGAGATCATTTATTTTTTTCACTAATGTGGTTTTCATTCTTTCCACACTATTTATTGAGTATTAAATGCTGTGCCAAGCTCTTTCTTAGGTACCGGAATGGCCAGAGATTGTTTGGTGCTGGAGGGAAACTGAGTGGTGGGACCTCTGGGAGTTCTACAGGGGCTCTGCTGGCCTCTGGCAGATTCATGCAGAACCTGCTTCCTTAGGGAGACAGGGAGAAAGCGCCACCAAGCATAGACAAGTAGGCCATGCAGAAGGGACCTGGTAGACAGAACACAGTATGAGTGACTGGCTTTGGAGACTGTCACTGGTGAATCACCCATTGAGGGCTTCCAAAGGCTCTGGTGGGAAGCGGTGCCAGGCTCATGGGTCAAGAACTCCTAGAGAGTGCATAGCAGATGTCAGAGGAAGTCTCAGATGGCTTCCAGGACATTTGCCCAGTTTACAGCAGAAGCCTGGAAACCTGAGTCTGCAAAGGCCTCGGAGCTCTCGCAGCCCTTCTGAGAGGTGAGATGGGGATGGGGAACCACAGCCGGAAAATGTACAGCCCCAAATAATGCGCTGTAAAGGGACATCTTGGGCTATTTTTATTCCCAGTTCAATACATGTGGAGGAATCACTGCCAGAAGTCAAGTCCGGGACAGGAGTTTCCAATCAGGCCTGCAAGCTGAAATGCTGGGAGTATGACCCAGACACATGGTAAGGCACAGGAGTCAAGGACACTTGCAGGCATCTGTGCAGGGAGCAACATGCATGTCCTCATTCCTAACAGCAGCAATGCAGATGTTACAGAGCATGCATCCATACACACCCCTTTGTACACAGTGTACAGCCATACACACCCTTTGTACACAGTGTGTATCCATACACACCCCTTTGTACACAGTGTGTATCCATACACACCCCTTTGTACACAGTGTGTATTCATACACACCCTTTGTACCCAGTGTGTACCCATTCACACCCCTTTGTACCCAGTGTGCATCCATACACACCACTTTGTACACAGTGTGTATCCATACACACCCTTTGCACCCAGTGTGTATCCATACACACCCTTTGTACCCAGTGTGTATCCATACACACCCCTTTGTACACAGGGTCACATGGCATTAACTTTGCACATAAGGAACAGAGACTCTTCGCTCCTGAAGGCTACCACTTTCCTTCATCCTCTCAGCACTTCCCTCTGGGGTTTTTCTACCCCACCCCCACCCCAAGTTTATCACATACTTAGAATCATTTCACCCTCCCCCCTCCGAATCCTGCAATACAAACACGAGACAGCCATTTACAAGATGATCATCCGGGGGAGGGGCGAGGAACGAGCAAGCAAGAAAATACCCTTCCCTGCCATTTTTAAAAAAGCATTTGATTTTGGTTTTGGGGTAGGGTTGTTTTTTTTGTTTTCAGGATTTAGACTTTTACATTCTAGACCCAACAGGAAGAAGGAAGCCATAGAAACCTATGCACACACCCACACACATATGTCCCCCCCTCTCCCCCACCACACTCCTACACAGGCACATTGCCTCCTCATTCAACAGAGTCAGATCCAGGAGTCTCTTCCAAAGTCCCCTCCCACAGGGTCCTACTGCCTGACCGTGTGGACAGTAGTGGATTGAGGAAGGAGCAGAGAAAAGAGCCAGACCTGAAGGGGCAGAAGCCTGAGTGTGACTGCCCTGACTTGTGACAGCCTCCACAAGGGAGGACCTGGCACAGAAGGGTGCGGGACAGAGCGCTGAGTCTCTGTGGATTGTCTGGGGGACTGAATCTTGAAGTCCTGGCCAAGTAGGACACAAAGACAGGATCTTTGTGTTTCAGGGGGAAAAAATAAAACCAGGTTCTCTTTGGTGATGATCTTGATGATTCAGTATCCAGGTGTTTAAAATCAAGACCACAGGTGAGTTTGGGTTTTCCCCTTCTCTCTACATGGCTGGCTTGGTGCAGAGATCATTCCCTCTTCTAACCTTCTCCCACTTGCTCTGTTTTCCTTGTCCCATAATCTGCATTTGCTGTTCAACCATCTTATTCTCTGTATCTGTTCATAGTCTCTGATGCTCGGTTTGGTTTGGTTTTGTATTAAACACTAGCAACTAAACCTAGGACCTTGTGCCTGGTTCACAGCACTCTACCACTGAACCACATCCCTACAACTTCATCCTTCTTGATTAAGCATCAGCCAACCCAGTTCACTCCTAAAAAGCAAATATGGTTATTTATTAAATGTCCAAACCTAAGTGGAAGACACTCCCACTTCCCAGTTCCCTTCCTTCTTTCTTATCTGCGAAAGAGACATCCCAAGAGGTTCCTTGCACGTCTAGAACCATAGACAATGCTGAATTATCTAATACACCATATCTCACTTTTATACATGTAAACTTCTGATAAAATAGAGTCTATACAGAAGGCACAATTAAAGACCAACAACAGCAATTAAAAAATAAAGTAATAATAACATTATATTGGTAAAAAGTTACTTTAAACTTCTCAATTCGTTTTTTTTTTCCTGAAAATTCCCCATTTAGTATTTTTGGATGTAATGGATCTTGGGTAACTGAGACAAAGGAAGGCAAAACCGTGAATAAGGGTGCGGTTGTGGTATGTCTGTTCAACAGTGTTCTGAGTGTGCATGCTATATGGTCAAAATTCTCTAGTTCTAGGAATCCTTCAGAACATGGCATTGCCTTTCTGGTTAAACAAGACTGAGATTTCCTTGTAACTTTGGGTCAGTTATCTGGTGCCTGGGAACAGGGGCACACCGTCTGCAATATGGATAGAAACCAGAGAACCGCATACCGAGTAAATTAAGACAGAAAATGATGAGTGGGTCCCTTGCTAGGAGGCGCCTGGTGGAGACACATTCGAAGGTGGAAAGCGAGTGAGGGGTGCCAATGGGGCAATGGTGGTAAGGAGTGGACCTATAACAGGTCCACTGAAGGCTGAGTGATGGTGCACACCTTAAACCCCAGCACTGTTGGCGAAGACTCTGTGAGTTCAAGACCAGCCTGGTCTACAGAGTGAGTTCCAGGACAGCCTCCATAGCTACAGAAAAACTCTGTCTCAAAAAAAAAAAGAAAGAAAGAAAGAAAAAGAAAGAAAAATCGCATGGACAACATTATTCACTTAAAATAATGAAGACAGCCACCAATTTTGGTGTTGATTACACTTTGCTACAATTAAAATTTTTAAATTAAAAAAAAGTTCAGCCTAGTGAATTTTCCATGAATGTGTAGGCTTGGGGCTGGAAGAGACAATCAAAAGTCACTTAGCCTAATGATTCTCAACTATTTATTGACTGGAATCCACAATAAAAGCTAGATTTTATGTGTGAGCCAACATATGAATACCAGGCCAGGAGCATACATGTGTATATTTGGATAGAACACACACATACAAACAAATATACACCTAGTCAAAAATACAGAACTAAAAAGGCACAAGAAACACTAGCCATTATACGAGGTGTGTTCTTTTTTCCTACTCTGTGCTGTCTAATTTTATTTTTTTTTAAAATATCAGTTACATTCTACAAAATAGATTTTGTTACCCACTAGTTAGGTTTCAGCCCTGGTTCAACGGCCCTGGTCTGGATTAACCTCCACAGCCATACAGAGATGTCCAGGATGTCTCTGTGGCACGGCCATCCAGTTTCCCCTGAATGCCATCAGTGATAGGGATCTCACTTTCCACAAGGCAGCAGGCTCTGTGATGAACCTCCCTAGCAGGTAAAGCCCCCAAGTCACTTCCCAGTTGTTCCAGATGTAACTGGGTGGAGCTGGGGAAAAGAAGAAGTCTGGGACCAGGTAGAGGGATCCGGGCAGCTGGGGAAGGGACCGAGACCACAGCTCTATCCGCAAGGCAGGGAGCAAGGTGGGCAAGAGACAAGGGCAGGGAACTGGGAGATGGCGACTGTCTTCCGGCTGTGCACTGACCTGCCCCCTCTGCCTTTGCTTCCCTCCACTGCTGTCATATTTCCACATCTGGTGCATGATCTCATCCCCCAAGCACCCACCTGAGGGAGAACTCTCCTCCTTGAGGGGCCCCAGCCTCGGGGGAGACAGATTCCACCACATTCCATCTCTACCCTTTGCCCCTCAGTACTCCAGCAGGTCATTGCCAGGTCGTCCCATACGCTGCCCTCTTGGTGTTGGGACCTAGGGTATCATCCCTGCCTGGGGGTCTTCAGATAGGATGACCTAAGGCTGTCTGACCTGTCCTCTAAAGTATCCTCCCAAACTGTCCAGGTTGAGAACCGTGGTGCTCCTAGATACCTGTGATCTTGGGAGAAATAAAACAAAGACAGCACTGCCACGTGGGGACACGGCTTTCTGCCGGACATCAGAGCTCTGGATCCGTGGATGGGGATAAAGAGGGAGAAAAGACGCTAAAATTCCTTCCTGGGTTGGTGGGCTAACTGTAACTGATCAAGGATCAGAGAACCTGGGTGTGGTCCTGCAAGCTTGTCTTCTCTGCCTTAGAGCCAGTGGCTGAGCCAGTTAGAATTAGGTTGACCTCAGGGTGGGGCGGGGCAAGCAAGAGGGGATGATCTCACTGTATCCTTAAGGCGGAGAGAGAAAAAGTAAGACTGCACAGAGGTAGAGGAGAAAGAAAAAACCAAGAACAACAATGAAAAAAAAAAGATGAAAATGGCAAAAGCAGAGCTTCTTCAGCTAGACTGGGGTCTTCATTCGGAGCAGCCTCAGAGGAAGCTGAGCTCCCACAGACCTTCCTCTCTCTAAAGCAGAACATCTTTTATGCAGAAATAACTCAACATAAACCTCCGACATGCCCCACTCATTTGGAACGAAACCGATGTCCAGAGCCCACCGTTACCCCTCTTTAAGCGCCATCATTTTGCCTCACCCTGCTTCTCCCTCAGGATTTGACAAAGTTTAATCGACAGAGTGAAGCCTAAGGCAACACAATAGACACCAAGCCCCTTCGCTTCTCCCCCTCTCCGGCTGCTATTTTGTTTCTTTCTTTTGTTTGAGAAGCCCTCCGATTATCCGCATCTGAGTTCTACTTACCTGCAGTCCGGTTTCCGAAGAGAGCTGCTCTCTTCTCACTCCCTCAATTAGTGGTACCCTGGGCTTCTCTCAACATCAGCACCGCTGCTGGGCTCTCGCCATGACATCACCTCCGAGCTCCCTGATTGGCTAGCAGTGGGTTGCTTGGCAATTGGACGGTCTCCTCCGGTGGAGCAGGGATTGCCTGAGTGAGTAACTCTTAGCAGGCTGGGGAGTGGAAGATGATGTCAGACAAAGAACCTGCTTTCCCCTGCTGCCTGTGGGGCTGGAGAAGCAGGGGGGGGGGGGCGGTGAGCATAGCCAGGAGGCAAGAGAGAGGGTGTGGTACCGCGAGGTGGGGGCGCCAGCACAGCTTGCAAGCTTGGGGAAGGATGAATGACTTGAATCTTTAGCCTCCCAAAGGAGGGAGAATATGGAATCTAGAGGAGCAATAGGAAGAACAGATGAACCCTAAAAATAGCCCCCCCCCCCGAGAACTCGATGGCTGTTCCCAGCTCCCTCAGAAGAGCTGACACATGGGAAGCATGCTTTATGTGGCGGGGAAAGGCTGCAGAAATCCCAAGTCCAGGAGTGAGTGAGGGCTTCAGCCTTACAGGTGTCCCGGGGGAGCAGGGTTTCCCTCTGGCCTCCCTCAAAAACAGTTGCTCTGTCTCTTCTGCAGAATCTACCTAGTGCTACTGTGTCCTTGCAGGCCACTCAGTCGGCCTGAGCCAACCAGAGAGAGCCACAGGTAGGAAATTAAACTGGAGACCATTATACCAGATGGATTCCTGGAGGGCAGCGACAGGTCACTGGTGGTGGCTTTCCTCGGGGACTTGGGGACTGAGGGGATCCTCTGTCCAGATCCATCAGCTGCTCATACACTGCCTGTTCGCACAGGCACAGTGGGAAGGACAAGCACCCTGTGGAGCAAGACACTCCCTCCAAGTGCCTCTCCCTCCGAAGCCCCTTGCCATGCATTCTCAGCCTCCCCGTCTGCACACACTACCACCTAGCCTTGTTTCACTCCTTTTTCTTAGAAGGATGTCATATTTGGTTGTAAGATGTGCAACATGTAAGGCTCACTCTCTCAACTACTTACAAGGAGACCGTTCAGCGGCATTGTACAGCCACCACGTTGTGTAAAGACTGCCCATCTTCAGAAGCCTTCCGTCCCTCCTAACTTTCATCCATAACCTTAAGCCATAAATCCACCTCTCCCAACCTCTGCCTTCTATGCAGCCGATAAATCTACCTGTCCTGTGTGCCTAGTGTGAGAGAATCATGAGACATCTGTCCCCCTGTGGCAGACTTCCTTCATCCACACGCTTTAATGTCTCTGAGGCTCATCGTTTGTAAGGAAGGTTTGTTCAGTATCAATTGGCACAGGGGATCCTCCCCCTCTGCTACTCCACACGCTGAGAACACACAAATCACCTTGAATTCAGCTCAGAGTTGGAGGAGGTTTTTTTATTTGTGTGTTTGTTTGTTTGTTTTTCTGTTGTTGTTTGAGGTACAAGCCTTGCTATATATCCTTGACTGGCCTGAGAAAAGTCACTGTGTAGACCAGGCTGCCCTTGAACTCATAGAGATGGACCCACCTGTTCCTCCTTTTCACAGGTGTTGGGATTAAAGGAATGCACTGCCACGCCCAGTTTTGAGAGGAAGTTTAACGCAAAAGCGTCCGCGAACACCTGAGGGGGTGGCTAAAGCATGCAGCACACGCGTCACTTGATCACTGTGTAGACTGTCCTAGAAACTAAGCAGAGACTCTGACCCTGGCTTCACCCCTTACCCCACATACACACCTCACTCCCCAACCAAGATACACAGGTTGGTTTCTCAGCTCATCACCCCCCCCCCCTGCTGTTCTCTCTTCAAAGCCCCGACTTTACGTCGGGAGGAGAGACCAACCTCATGCTGTTGGGAGTGGCTGAGAGAGTAGTGTGCCTGCCTTTGGGTAGCAGAGCACATCTGGCTGTTCTTTGAGACATCATCCTCAGCCGTGTGGCCAGGGAAGACTGCCTTCCTGCCTGAAACTCAATAAGCATCACCACATGCCACAAGGACCCCCCTCCCCCAGTCTCCGGTTCAGGCTCAGTGGTGTCCCTTAGCATGCCAGACTGGGGCCCAAATTTTAGCAGGCCACAACAGGTGGCTCCGTGGCTACAGTCTGCCCTCTCCCCTCCCCCAGTCCGCTCTTCCCAGCCAGAGGAGTCTGGACCTCCACACACAGATTGGCTAGTTCTGGAAGAGGAGGGAGGAAGGGGGAGCAAAGAGAGTGGGTTGCCATGACAATGGTACCCAATCAGATATCTGCTGCTACGAAAAGAGGGGAAGGTGGGCTCCAACGCCCTGCATCAGAAGGAGGGTGGAGGGAGGGAAAGGGTGAGATGAAAAAAAGTCAGGTCATCGCTACCCAAGGCAAAGAACAGGGGTACAGGGGTGGAGAAGGGAAGTGGATGGAGCCCTCTCCTTTTCTAGAATTATCTAACTAGGGCTCAAGTGACAGGCTATAATGACCACACCCCTACACACACACACACACACACACACACACACACACCACACACACGTGCAATCACTCTGTAGGGGATTATCCACTTCATGTATAACAAAGACACTTCAAACAGTGCACCTGTTAAAGAGAAAGGCCTCCATCTGGATTTTGAGGCACAGAGAATAGAAAAATGGCGTTAGAAAGAGAAAGGCACACCAGATAGGGTCACTGCCAGGAGTCTCAGCGAATAGCTGAAACAGAATGATAAAAAGGGAGAAAGTCTATTGTATATTGTAGGAAAATATACCAAGCACCCAAGTCCAAAGAAGGCCAAAGCCACTAAAGAAAACAGCAGAGTTTGAGCAAGGAGGTTAGCAGGGTAAGACTGAGGCTGGGGACTGGTGGAGAAGGCTGGCTGGAGACTGCTCCTCACACTGTTCAGCTGAGAAAGACAGGTCGCAAGAGGCTGTCGCTGTACCTGCCGAGCCAGCTTCCCAGTGAGCCAAAGACCGGTTGCCGCAGCTGGACCTCAGGCAAAGGCTGCGGGGGCCCAAGATACACAGATCTGCACCCGGGTCTCTGCAGTGCCACCTGTCAGAGCTCAGATTGTACATGACAAGGACACTCAGCCCCCAGACCTCCACCTGCTACCTGGCTGCATCCTGGAGACCCAAGTCATTTATTTTGAGCCAGGAATCCCACAGCAGGTGCCTCTCAGCGAACTGAGTCACAACCCTGTTGTAAAAGAGTGCGCAGTCACCGCTGTGCGCAGCTGGGGTAGTTCTGCTAAATGATCCATGGGGAACTTGCACCTCTTTCAATACTCAGGAAATAGGATCTTAGCCTGACACGAGAATTCAGTAGACCTGAAACCTTGTGTCCCCTTGGCTTGCACCAAGTGCAGTAGCTAAAACTCTACATCGTAAGCGGGTGGTGCTGGTCTTCCTTTGCTTACAAGGAGGCTAAGCCCTGAGGGTTGCTTTGTGCAGACTTTGCAGAACTGGATGTTGTCAGTGAGTGTCTCCGTGTGAGTAGCAACCTGTCCGTATGATGTCATTGTTAAATGTGAACGCTTGTCTCACTGGAAGAGAATCTGCTCTGACTCATGGGCCCTTGTGACACTTTAGATTCTCTTTCAGTCAGCGGAGACACAGGCTCAGTTCCTTCACCTTGAAGCCTTGCTGGAGGGCGGGAGCCGCTGGTTTATGCAGACTGTTGGGTTTGTAAACTAAGTCAGAACAGTTCATGTTTATAACAGCGCAGATTGTGTTTATTAAAACTGCCCTTTTCAAGGAAGCTAAGACTTGTGTGTCACCGGGGGACAGCACCTGGCACAAAGCGTGGCCTCAGGAAATGTCAGCTCTTGGGACGGTCCTTACACAGCAGATGAACCATGAATATTTGGCCCACGAGAAACAGAAACTCACTTCAAACCTGAGAAAAACACACGTACACATTTTTGTTAAAATTTAACAGTAGACTATTTTATTATTAAACACACAATCCAACTAGAAAATGAACAGAAACTACTAAGATATATTTTTTAGTGAAAATATACAGACCTCCGGGGTATTGGTTGCTTTTCTGTTGCTTTATAAGACACCATGACCAAGGCAACCTACAGAAGAAAGGGTTTATTTGGGTTTACGGTTCCCGAAGAATAGAGTCTATCGTGGCAGGGAATGACGGCAGCAGGAGCAGCCATGAACTCACATCCTGAATCACAAACAGGAAACAGAAAGCAAACTGGCTTTAGAAACCTCAAGCCTTCCCTTCCCTCAGTGGCACACTTCCTCCATCAAGGCCACAAGTAGATTTATCCCAAACAGATTTATTTTGTGGTGAGTTGGGGAGGGGCGGGGGAGGCGGGGGAATGTCCACACACAACTAAGTGCAGGTGCCCGTGGAGGCTGGAAGAAGCTGTTGGGATCACCCGGAGCAGGTGTTATAGATAGTGGTGAAAACTCGGATCCTCTGCAAGTGCAGTCTCTCCGGCCCTGCACATAAACTCATTAAAACAGCTAAAGTTGCAGGCATTGTGGTGCATGCCTGCAACCCCAGCAGGAAGGACAATGAGACAGGAAGATACTGAATTTGAGGCCGGCCTGAGCTAAGTAGAGAGACTCTGTCTCAAAACAAAACAAACGAACGAACAAAACCGAAGCCAAACAACTACAGAAAATAAATGAATAAATAAATAACGCTTTAAAAAAAAATACCAAACTCAGATAAGAACGAAGAGTGACTAGATCTCTCATACACTGCTGGAGGAAAAGTCAAATGGTAAAAATTCCTTCAGAAACAGTTTGGCTGTTTCTTAAGTAAACACACATTAGCCAGAGGGCCAAACAATTGCACTCTTGGACGTGGTTCCCCAGAGGACGGAAAGTCACATTCTTGTAAAAGTATGACTTGGAGTATTTTTTTTTTTTTTTTTGGTTTTTCGAGACAGGGTTTCACTTGGAGTATTTTTATACCTTGCAAAAACAAGAAAATATGCTTGGAAGTTTTCTTGATAACAGCCTCACAGCGGAAGTAAGATGTCTTCGACAGGT